AATTTAGAAGTTTAACTAAAACCACAATTTTATTGTTTTAGTCCTTAACATGTCAGATGGCAATCAGCAAGAAATGCTTTCATTCTTAATTGTCTTCCCTATATTTTCCCATATATATTAATATGACAATTTGTGTCAGGATTGAAGACTGTAACACATTTGAAGTGAACACATTGCCTTTAATTTTGGTTTTGTTTGTCTCTCATATTGTCCCCATCTTTCTGGGTAAACATATCTGCATGGCCAACACTGTCTTTCTGCTGCAAATGTGGGTGCAATTTCTGATGTGTGCTTGTCAAAGTTGATGCTTGTCAAAGTTTAAATGGACATATTACCTCAAAAATTCAATTTATAACAAAAATATGAGTTGTCATGATGTTGGTAAGTATATATTTACTGAAACCACGACTATTTTATTATTATTATTTTTTTCATTAAAATTATTAATAAATGAAGTAAATAGCTCAACCCTTTCACAAGTTTACAACCCCGTAACAATGAGAAATACATATATTTGTGACGGGGTTGTGGTTTTTCTCTTAAAATGGCCACTGCTCTTCAAGTAGTTCGGAGAGTAGACCATATATGGAAGCAATACAATAAATACAATGCATATACTTATGGATTAAAACAAAATGTTGAAAAATAATAATTTTCCATCTTAATCTTACGTGACGGGGCTGAGTTGTTAAGCTTGACAGTACCCTCCCTGACTATAATATACCTCAAAAATATGAATAATACGTATGATACTACTAACAATTTTCTGCACCACTATTAAAGAGACCTGAATGATGTCATTTCTGGTAAATGATGTTACATGTGAGTGGAGTCTAAATTATTATGGGCGTAGAATGCGCACATTAGTGTGACAGGGTTGAGTTCAGACTGAGGGACATAACTTTAAAGTCTGTTTTTTTAGTTTTATTATTCAGTATAATGGGTCTACTAAAGTACTGTGAAAAGCTTCTAACAATTCATTTTGGTGAACCACCACTTTAAAAACTCTGAATCCCAGGAATGACCCATGTATCATTATACACATTGTTCTATCCATCCATCTTTCTATTGTTCCATCCATCCATCCATCCAATTCAAAATCAATCCATGTGGAAAGGTTTTAGTGGTTCTTGCAGTTACTAGCACTTAAAAATGTCCTTGTGTGAAATAATTTTAGTTCTTTTTTTCCCCTGACAATTATCTTTGCAACTCAAACTACAAGGGAATTTGCAAGGGAATAAATGTCAGGCTCAGTATGGTCAGGCTTGAAATGTCACTGAAAAACAATGAGAACTAATTATATAACCAATTAGATTGTAACAAGTTATCCCATTCCATTGTGTTTATC